GGAGCACAAAAAAAACCGATGGTTTGGGGTGCGAATGTTGCATCTGCATGATAAGGCTGAGGCCAAGTCGGATGGAGAGGTGACTCCGGTTGACTTGTCCAGCCAGGTGAAAAGAATGCTGGGAATGGGACCGTGATTTGGGATAGCAGCCGCTTCGCGTGCTGCACTGTATCGTGTATCATAAACGCTAGACTGTACAATACTGCGACGTGACTCGCTAGACGTGTGAAAGAATACGATAGAGACATATCGGCGGCCAAGCCACAGCTTGTGATGGCTGTTGCCTCCGCTCTCTCCCTGCACCTAACTGCCTGTTAGCTGCTTGACGATCACTAAGGTAGGAGACAAAGCAATCCAGTCCCGAGTGGCGTTGTTGTAGGGTGTTGGTCGGAGCGTTCATGTTTGCTGGTCAAGCGTCAATAGGGGCCAGACGCTATTGAGCACCCAAAGCAGCATGTTATCAGGGGATCAACGGTGGTGATGCCCTAATGGAACTGACTCTTTGTATCGGTCGTCGATCGTCTGCGGTCATTTTCTGATATATTGGCTGCACAGGTCCATCATTTCCTAGTGATAGCACTCGGCCAGTTCGGTGCGCCACGGCTCTAAGACTCGAAAGCGCTCATCATGGGTTTCCAGTACCATCATGCGGGCCCGTCTTCAGAAACGCTGCAGCATCCATTATCTGCAGGCGAATCTGTGAACGTTCAAGCTCATGAGCGTATTCGGTCCCGCAAGCCCCGGGATTGGTTCGAAAGCACTTTATTCTGGCTGTCGCGACTCGCCTCAATCACCTGGCTCATAATTGTGTTCACAGCGGCTTGTACTGTCTTGATATCATGGGAGGGGTACTGCGACCAGCGGCACGGGCATCGCTTGGGTGAAGACCCCACGGGGAACATTCCGGAGTGTGAGTCGACCCCTGATTTCAACAGGTCTGTCGTTGCGTTGTCGGGTCAAGAGCTGATGTCAAGAGCGTCCAGTCCCCCGCGTCATACAACATTTCGAGTTGACGGCCGACTACACATTCAACCCGCTGAACACGACCGCCGTCGAGAAGCACCAAGTACGAAAGAACTGGGATGCCTTGATGCCAGGTGAGTCAACGGCATGCAGCCGTACGTCCAGGAACGGCGCAGCAGCCACCCACTAACCGCGGCAGTCGGCCATGGGTTCTTCAGCGCAACGAAGAACCAAAACCAACTGCCGACGGTGACGGTCGACCCGGAGAACCACCCGGCGCACATCACGGCCGTGTTCCACCAGCTGCACTGTCTCTACATGATCATGCAGGCGTACCACTCGGGCGTGCAGGCGACGGAGGAGACGGAGGCGATGGCGTTTCACCTGCGGCACTGCTTCGAGTACCTGCGGCTGTCGCTTGCCTGCCACGGCGACACGGCGCTCGGGGGTAGAGTCGACGACACGACGGCCGGGGAGGCGGGGGCACAGCATGTGTGCAAGGACTGGGGGGCTGTCAAGCGGTTTGCCGAGACGCATCGGACGAACGAGTTTCGGGGCATCATCGACACTGACTAGCAGCGGGCCTCTCGGATGAGTTGGCTATTGTGAACTGAAGACTGAGGTGAGATCGTGAAGGGTTGTATATTGAGGATCGGGGGGGGGGCTGTGACAGCGGAAAAGGGAACAGTTCCCTCTGTGGGTGTACCTTCCTTGGTAGGTAAGTGAGGGGCAATTACCCTGTGGCAGGTGAGATCGGCCAAGGGGGAAGGTCCGGCGAGACAAGCGACTTCCCGAACTGTTTCCCGGCGTGTTTCCATAGGGCGCACTCACGCAGCCATTGCCCCTTCGACCTGGAGCGCTCGTCCTCGTCGGTTCAAAATGTCTTTCGTAATAATCTGCATACCTACCTATTCTGGTGAATTGAGAGGCACTTTGGTCTGCCAAATCAACACGCTACCCAAAGAGGCCCCCTAGCTTGGTAGCATCGTCCCATCGACTTTTCTTTAGCTGTGCCTTATCATCCGCTTGACACACTCCACCACCTTGCCCACCTCGACCCCACGATGCCACCCTTTGCCTCACTACTTAGCTTGGGCCGCATCCCTCGATTTGGACCCAGGTTCTTCTCATCGACCTCCCAAGCTGCCTCGCGCCTCAAGATTAATGCTGATCGACTCAATAACACCATCCATGACACGTGTCGATGGGGCGCTGCTCACCCCTATGGCAGGTACCCTTTAACCCCTGCCCTTCTCAAGCACACAGAGGACTCACACATGTATACAGCGCGCCTACGGAAACAGGCATGGCCCGCCTCGCCCTCACTGATGACGATGCCTGTGTGCGCCGCTGGTTCGCTGATGAAGTCCGCAACATCGGCTGTGACGTTGCCGTAGACGCCATGGGCAACCAGTTTGCCCGTCGTCGCGGCCGCACTGCTGCTGCCATGACTGCCATGGGTAGCCACCTCGACACGCAGCCGCGCGGTGGTCGCTACGATGGCATTCTAGGTGTCATTGGTGGCCTCGAAGTGCTGCGAACCTTGCACGAGAATGGCTACGAAACCAAGTTTGACGTTGGTGCGGTGAACTGGACAAAGTACGCCCAACCTTGCGCTCGACTTCCAGCAAAGAACTGACACGACTTGATTAGCGAGGAGGGCGCCAGGTTTCCCAAGTCCATGATCTCCTCCGGGGTCTGGGCCGGCGACATCCCGATTGATAATGCCCATGCCCTCGCTGACATTTTCGACCCCTCGGCCACTGTCAAGTCTGAGCTTCGACGTCACGGTTTCCTCGGAGACATCGCCTGCACATATGGCCCCCAAGGTTACCCTCTGGGCGCCCACTTTGAGCTGCACATCGAGCAGGGCCCCATCCTGCAGGACGCCGGCCGCCGAATCGGTGTTGTCCAGGGGGCTCAGGCCTACCGCTGGTTCACCTTTACTGTGACGGGCCGGGACGCACATACAGGAACCACGCCGCTCGGTGCCCGAAAGGACCCCCTCCTCGCTGCGAGCCGCATGGTAGTCGCAGCCCACGAGGCAGCCAAGGCGGTAGGCGGCCTCGCATCCACAGGCGTGTTCAAGATGCCCACCAACTCGTCCACAAACACAATTGCCAGCACAGTGAGCTTCACGCTAGACATTCGACACCCAGAGGACGAGGTTGTAGCAAGGATGCAGGACACGATTCTCGCAACGTTTGAAGGTATCGCCGGCATGGACGGACGCGGTGTTGAGCTCGCCTGGACTCTCGACACGGATTCGCCGGCAACCAAGTTCCACCCCGACTGCATTGGTGCCGTGGAAAAGGCGGCCGATGGACTCGTCGGCCGGGACGGCTGGCTGCACATCACGAGTGGTGCGGGCCACGACAGCGTCTATACGAGCCGGCGATGCCCGACGACCATGATCTTTGTGCCGTGCAAGGACGGCGTCAGCCATCATCCGGAGGAGTATTGCAGCCCCGAGGACTGGTGAGTGGTCTTGTATTTGATGTGCATGATGTTTTGAAGACTGACATTTGGGAACAGTGCAATGGGAACGCAGGCATTGCTCGACGCTGTGCTCGAGTACGACGAGAGCAGGAGTTCATGAACGACAGTCGAGACGGGTATGATTTTGCGTATACCACTTGGCTCACTTCTCGAAAGTCGATGTAAATGACATATAGTGGATTCAACCAATTTTGTTGCTGTTTCTTAATTCCGTCTTTCTCAACGGTGTCAGGCACGTCTGGTTGTTCTAGGCTTGGTGATTTCAACGCGATGTGCGTCGTTTCCCTGGAATGCTAGCAACTTGCTCGAAAAGTGTGCAACCCCTCTCTTGATTTCAGACTTTGACATATGTATATTGAGAATCCAATTCCAAATTCAAGCTTAATGTTCCGAAAAGTCGACCATGGAGAATCGTCATCAAGAATGTCAGGATCCGGGGCGCTCCGAGTCGGCTGCAAAAAGGAGCCCCGCCCGGCGAAGCGAGCGGGGCCACCTGTAGTCAGAGGGCGCCGGAACACGCCGCGAGGGATTCCCACGGCCCAAAACCTACAATGCCCTCTCCAA